AAACGCATAGTGAGAATAAATGTGTCATCATTCATCATCACTGACTCATTAAATGCTCTATTAGGTGTAAACAAATATACCCTACAAATCCAATATTTCGGGCTATAAAAAATGAGATAAATATAATTCAATCAAATCGAACAGAGGAATCGAACATTTATCTGGGTACCGTCGCATGTAGGAATAGCTGGAAATGAGAAAGTGGATAGCCTAGCAAACACAAGTCGAATAAACTCACAATACACAAAAAAATAAAAAATTACCCATAAGTAGTCTGATCTCAAAAACCTAATTAAAGACCACTGTATGAACATATGGCAAGACTACTGGAAAGATTCAGGAACCAAACTATATATGAGATTTATCCCCTTGTGAAGACCATCTTGAATAATCCATCCAATAGAAGGGACCAAGTAATAATTAACAGACTAAGAATTGGACACACTGCACTGACCCATAAATTCTTAATCAACAAAGAATCTTCTCCTACCTGCAGAAACTGTTCTCTCCCGCTGACGGTGAAGCATATTTTGATTGACTGCCAGTACCACGAAGAAACAAGAAGAAAATATGGAATCTCTGATGACATCAAAACCACATTAACCATAAACACTGACCATGTAATAAATTATTTAAAAGATTTACGTTTATATACATCTATTTAATGTAAATAAAATGAATTCTTGTGTATGTCACTCCACTAATAACCCTGCGTGGTTAATGTGGATTATATGTTAAAATAAAAAAAAATATGCTTACATTAGGGTTTAATTTGCAATATCTATTTTGTTTATTACATTTTTTATTTAAAAAATCGCACAGAGACAAAGTATTTTCAAGAAAGTTGTCTTTTGAACGTTTTTATTTAGAATCTGTAGTTTTTTCGCGGTATTGAAATGAACGAAAAAGTCCTTTTTTTGCGGAAATGTCATGACGCAGTAAAAGTTTCGATAACTACGAGATAATACCTCCTTTCTATTAAAACTCCCAAATATTCTAGTTAAAAATAGCGCTCAGTAATTTTTTGATTTTTCAAGTGATTTTTCGACTTGGTCTCATGAGACAATTAACTACAAGCAAGGGCTGGCTTTTATAAGAGTATAAATTATGTAGTACAAAAATTAAAAAAGTAAATAAATCTAAATATAAAGTCACTGTATAATTAAATAATTCCAAATTGTTTGAATTTACAATTTTACGATTTTTTCTAATAGGGGTAGTGTTCATCCCTAAAAAATAAAATCAACCAACAGCACAAGTTTAGTTTAGAAGTGGAGGGTAAGTATAATCTAGTAAGTAAGTAAGTATAATAAAAATCCAAATTTTTTTTTTTAATCAGTGGAGATAAGGTATGCAATGACATTAACTATTCTAGGATGTGACATTTACAGGTAAATATGTGATAAAATCTTAAATTATGACTGTTAAATTATTTTAATTGACATTCATTCACTTCATTAAAATATGATTTTAAAGATGATAAAGCAATTACCCGGTTTAATTTTTAATTATACGATTTATTTCTACTAGGGATAGCTTTTATCCCTAAAAAATAAAAACAAGCTAACAAGACAAGCACAAAAGTGAAGTGGAGGGTAAGTAGAACCCAAATCTAAATTTTTATACAATTCGGTAATAACGTCGAAAATTACATGCCATCTACTAAAG